GTCTGAGGATCCGAGACGTGAAAGGCATGTTGAGGGTCAGTTAGTCTAAATTTTCACTCAAGGTATGGTTCCCAGAGGATAGCTTTTAGATATATAGAGTCTTAGAACACATGATTGAAAAGGGGAAGATACCCTTTCTGGGACCATGCAAAAGATACAATAAAAATGATCTATTACAAAGATGTCAAGTTATTTTACTGAAGTATAACTAGTGATGTGCAGAGAACTCGAAACTGAGGAGTAAACAGAACAGAGGCTAAGGGATTTGGCACTGCCGGAAGCATATAGACACTTGACACATAATCTTTAGATTTAAGATTTGTGGTCACTGATGCTAGTGTGAGAGAAAGAACAACTCATTGACAAGAACTATTTGGAAAATCTTCCAGAAAAAAGGTTGTTTTCCCAACCTAGAAGTCATTGGCAAATTGAGAGAAAGAGTGGGAGAATGGGAAAGAAGAGAGAGATATTAAGAAATGAATTTCCAGGAACCCTGTTGGTAATCTTCCATTTGCATTCTTGCATTCAACAGTCAGCTACCCTGATGTACTGCAGTGTCTGGAGGCTCCCATCCTCTCTGACACCACCTGCCACAACGCCTACCCAGGCCAGATTACTAGCAATATGTTCTGCCTGGGCTTCCTGGAGGGTGGAAAGGACTCTTGCCAGGTTAGTGTGTTTGTGCTCCTCCCCCTCCATCCAGCTCAGTCTCATTCTTTTCCGCCAGAGTTCCTCTTTCCTGACGCACAGAAGATGTAATAATGTCCCTGGGACTGATTGTGAGGAGTGAGGGATAGTTTCGGGATGAATTATAAATTTTATTTTTGTGATATTCATGGCAGGGTTAAGGGTAAAAAGATACTCTGAAGTGAGGTATCACAAGAATGGAAGAATAAGCACCACATGTACTCGCCACCAAATTGGCACTAACTGATCAACACTAAGGTGCCTACAGGGTAGTGACATTCATTGGGGGTTGGGGGGTTGGGGGTGAGTAAACTCTTAACTAATGGACGCGGTGAGTGTTGTAGGGGGTGAATCATGGCTTGGGTGTAGCAAAGTCGTAACATGTAACCAAAATGTTTGTACCCCCATAATATCCTGAAATAAAAATAAAAAAAAAAATCAAAGGCAAAGAGAAAGATACTCAGAAGATGGTGTGAAAACAGTATCTCTAGGCCCCTTCTGAGGAGGCAAATGGTGGCAGCGAACCCTAGCAGAAGGAACAGAGCTACGTGGGCAGCATTAAAACTCTCCAGTCCTCACCTCTCCCTTAGCCCGATTGGCCTAGAAGGAAAAAGGAGGGGTTGGAAGGAGTGTGGAGGAAGACTAGGTATAGCGCAAGGATATTGAGACTTGGGTTTCCAGGGAAAGAGAAGGTGTTTTATAGAGGATTAACAGCCTGGGAAAACTGCCTCAGCACAATGGAAGAATAGTTTGCACCCCATTCTCTTATCTGAGGGTAGCCAGGATTTCATCATCTCTTCACTTTTGCTCAGCTTGACTCTGGAGGCCCCGTGGTCTGCAATGGAGAACTCCAGGGCATCGTCTCCTGGGGCTATGGCTGTGCTCTGAAAGGCAAACCTGGTGTCTACACCAAGGTCTGCAACTACGTGGATTGGATTGAACAGACCATCGCTGCCAATTAGATACGTGCATCTCTTCATGTCTCGTCTCCTGTTATACAGCTTCACCTTCCTTCTATGCCTGAAAAGAGTGTCTAAATAAAAAGATTTGTCCTGTATCACATCTCTCCAAGAATGGTCCTTCATTGGTTCTGATGATCTTGTTCTTGAAAGTAGCTGCTAAGTAAGAAGGTGGCACAGTTAAATTATCATATCAAGAGAATTTGAAAAATTACTTAATCATTCATTAACCTAATCAATATTAATTTGCTGGTTACCCACTACATTCCAAACTCTGTATGAGATATTGGGAATAGAAAAAGGAACAAGGTTAGAGGTCACTGTTACCATCACATTTTATTTTTACAAAATAATTATTAGGTACTATATTAATAACTCATATAAATTTTGTTGTAGGATTTGGCTGCAATAAATTTAGATC